CCTGCTGCTAATTTTATGGATGGCAATTTTGTCCAATAAGTTGTGGGGAATTATGATTAAAAAGTGACCGATTTTTTTTTAATTTAAAAAAAAAAATAAAAATAAAAAAAAATAAAATAAACATTTTTCAATATTATACAGATTTATTTGAACAGCTGTCCTCATATTGGTCAATGTTTCTGCTGTTGGACTCATGAACCAGCTGGGAATTTTAACCAAACTCCTTTTCAATCCACTTGAGGTAAATCATTCTCATTAGTTTTTACCCTAAGGGAAATAACTCTTATCAATTAATTTATCCTTGGACCAGACGATTTCCCTTGGTCCTGAATGTACACCTAACCAATAACTAGGTCAGATGGCTTACAAGCCGGGAAAAGATTGGCAAAGACAAACTTGTGTGTGTGTGTGTGTGTGTGTATGTTGTATATTTAGGCAGCAATCCTTCCTTTATGCATGTTTCATTAAAAACGACAGACAAGGTACTATGGTTAAGCTTTTTAATTTTTCTTGTGTTCTAACAAGAGCTTTATTTTATTTTATTTTCTGGACAAAGGGTGTCTAAGAACTGTTCAAATGTTTTATATTTCCAAGCGCTTTTGACTATACCTTTAGCCATTATCAAGGATGATTTGATTTTTCAGCTTAATCGAGTGTGTGCATTCTGTGTATGTCTTAGTGTGTGGTAGGGATGTTTTTAATTTCTGAATACAGTTAGCACATTGTGGCTTTGTTCGTAGTTAATATTTTTAAGAGTTGGCTTTTTCTTTTTTATTATTAAAGCTTCCATTATTTTTAATCTTTTTTGCAGGTGGATGCAGTTAATATATTTGTGTTTTCTACTAGTATGTTCCTAATGGAGTCTGGTAAATTTGTGTGTGTTTAAATGGGTTCTAATGAAGCTGTGATCAGATAGGTAGATCAGATAGGTATAACGTAAGACGTCTGGATAAGCATGTGGTTGTGTAACCGATATAATTATTTATGAGTCCGGTTTGATCAGGAACACAGTTTCTTAAGGGGCATCTGACAATATAAAACAGTTGGATAGTTCTTACACATTTTTTGTCCCAAAAAGAAAGCTCTTGTTAGAACACAAGAAAAATTAAATAAAAAGCTAATCATAGTACCTTGTCTGTCATTTTTAATGAGACATACATACATACATACGAAATAAATGATAATAAAAATAAAAAACTTTATTTCAAAATATTGAATATTTTCTATTACAGAACTTTTAGCAGTAATGTTAAAAATGAAGAAATTGAGGGGGGGGGTGATAAATAATAAAAAAAAAAGTTGGCAATCATGGATACATGCACCTGCAATAAGACGTTTTCTTTTCCTTTGACGCTATATTTTTAACTACCATCATTCTTTAGCAATATTTTAAAAAGCAAGGATTAGAATTGTAATAAACATATGAGGGAAGCAAATTTATACATTTTCTTTGTTCTTGAGAATTGACAACAAAAATAATAAATTATTTATTAGATTGTTAAACAATATAATATTGCAAATAAACAATCTAATAAATAAACAACGTATCTAATATTTTTGTTGTAAATTCTCAAGAACAAAAAAAAAAAATGTATAAATTAACTTTCATATGTTTAGGTTTTATTCAAATTCTAATCATTGCTTTTTAAAACAATAAACATTGCTGAGGAGTGAAGGTAGTTATAAAAAAAAGTGTCAAGGGGAAAAAAAAAAGTGTCCTTTTGATACATCTTATTGCGGGCATGTTTATCAATGTTTGCCCAATGTTAAACCAAAGCTCAAAATTGATTGTAAATATAATTAATTTATATTTACAGTTAATTTTGAGCTTTGGTCTAACACACACAAATTGATCCTGCTTCATCTTGAAAAATGTCTTTGCATAAAAGTTGTACCAAATTCTGAAATTAATTGTCAGGCAAAAGATTTTCAAGCAGAATAAATTCTTCATCCAAGAGGCATTTGGAAAAGGTAATTAATTTTCCCCCTATTTGTATTTGTAAATATTTTTCTATGATTCATTGATTTATATCATCCGATAATCTTTTCTGGTTATGAATAGTAACCAATTTTATATTTTCCAAAATAATGTTAATTTTGAGCACATATTATCGTGTATACTATATTAAAGGAAAAATATTAGGAAGACTATTTAATGATAATGATTTCATATGATCTGTGGCTACTAGGACATTAGTCTGACAGATTCTATTAGAATCTTGGAGCCTTAAACCTAGTGTTTATTTTCTGATCACTTTATCTGTTAATTTTTAGCTAACATAGCCCTTTTTTCCTAGTGTGTGATTTTATCATAAATTTGATTTTTTTTTTTTTTTTTTTTTTACTGCTAGGTCATTTAATACAAAGCCCAAGAGCCACTCAAAGTAAAGGGTTACTGAGGGAGATTGTAAGGAAGGAGAAAGAGTATTATGAGGACAAGTAGGATAGATATCTGTTGACCCTGGACTCAAAGAGATTATAGTTGTCAGGGAAGCATGCTCTTGGGATTTTTTTTCTCCACAAAGCAATAGTTCTAAGGAAGAAGCTGTCTGAATGGAACTTGTTTTTCATCAAAGGAACATGAAGGGAATGGAGACAATTTGCCATGGTGAACATGGTAGAGCAGGTCCTAGCTAGTAGCACAAAAGAATGTAACTTGCCCAAACATCTGTTATAGTAATAGCGATATACTAGTGAAAGTCTGGTGACATTTCATCTGTAGAATGAGAGTTGCATGATAGAGAATGATTTATTACGCAAAATAGCTGTTTAAGTGCTTTTGAACTCTGTTGAGGCTGGACATATATAATTGATATTTTTTGATGATTTAAAAAAAAAATCCCAAATTTTTATTCCAACAAAATCTGAAAAAAGAAAAAAAGAAAAAGTCTGCTTTTACACACTACAACCTAGATTAAATGAACAATTGCAAAAGGTAACATGATTGGGAAATTTGTTAAAAAGAAAATCACAATATTGAAAAGTATTCAAGTTTTAAATAATTTTTATTTTATTTATTTTTTTTATTTATTTTTAATTCATTTGCAATATATATATTTTTATGCATTGGCCACAGGGTAATCATAAGTAGTTTTAGAGAAAATGAAGAGATTGTCTGAAAGATAAAATTCAAGGAAACAAAACTTGTGTACATGGGACTTAATTTGTGCTTTAAAATTCGAAATTTGAAGCAAGAAACATGAATAACAAAGGGGGTCTGGTGAGTAGCAAATTTTATTTTTGACTTGGTGCTGTTATTGGTAGGAAAAAAATGTCTCCCAAGTTTGTCTTCAACATCAGCACAAAGAAGAATGTTACTGGAAGACATAAGATGGTAATGCCATACAAGAATAAATTTTGTCTTTTTTTTTTCTTTTCTCCTCTGTAGGCTGAATAAAAAGGAAGACAAATTTTGAGACTAACTTCATAAACTGCTTCTGTATAGGTCGTATATGTTGGTAGATGGTAATTCTTTTTTTTTTTTTTTTTTAATTATTCCAGAGCTTGTTGGAAGAGGACATTATTTCAGTCACTCTGCAGAGTGAGAGATTTCATCACAAGATGAGATCAATGTTTTTGAGGAATCAGAGATTTTGCAAATACATGAAGAAACTTTCTACAGTGTAAAGGAAGAGCCATTTTGTTAACAGTTAAAATGGCTATTCTTAAAGCTTAAATAATCACCTCTAGAAGTTTAATCTTAGGTTTGAAAATAAATTAGTTGAATGTTAACTATTAAATAGATAAGAGAAGAATTGGTGCAGTAAGAGAAAGAATGGAAAGAGACCATCATCTGAGAGTCTTTTGCTAAATTGGAACAGTCTTTGACTAAATTTTTTTCCTTAAATTTTTAGATATTTTATAAATTCAAGGAAATAAAAATGTCTTAAGATTTATAACATTATTACTATTTTTAAAGTTATAAATTTATTTCTACTGTCAACTTAAAAAAAAATTCAAAGCATTTGAAAATTTAAGTACCATTTTGTTTAATGCACATTATAATTGAGTTCATCTTTAAACCAAAAAATCTTTCCTTCATTCAAATTATTTGTTGGAAAGAAAATTTGTTCTAATATATTTTAGGAGAAATGAAATGCAATGAGATAAAATAGTTAAAAATGTGGTTCTGATTTAATAAGTCTTGAAATCCAAGTTATCTGAAAATTAGGGATAATTACCATTTGTGAGTGTTCATGTGCTGTAATGGTTGGCAGCTTGGTACAGTTAGCCAAGTCTGAATTTCTAACCCCCCCCCACTCCAGGCATGGATTAAATAGCAGGGTAGACTGGGATCTTTGACCCTGATTGGCAATCAGTCTAAGAGAAAGACTATACTGAATTCGTAACTCAGCCATCTGAACTGTATAAAGAGGGCTAGACACTGGGCAGAAGTACAGGTAATACGTAAAAAAAAAAAAAAAAAAAATGATCTTACAGAAGAAGAACTATCTGGAACACTATTGAAACCAATGGGCATTGAACCCAGGGAATGTGGATGGACCATTTTAAAAATCAAATTAACAATTCCTAACAGAATCAAATATGAATCCAAACGTATTTCAAGTGAAAACATTTTGGGAGTGGTGGTTGTATTAGTAATACTAATAAGAGTTATGTTCTAAAAATATGTTGATGTAGTAGTAAAAACATGCATCAAGATTAAAAAAAAAAAAAAAACACAGACCATTGCCTTAAAACATATTTCATGTTCATATGAAAATTACCTGAGATTATTATATATGTATTTATCATCTCTCATTATTAGTACTATTCGGCGGAATTGTTTTGTATGTTATAAAATGGAGTCTGACAATTTTGAGGTATTATTTTGACGTGCCTCAAAGCTGCTGGCAGAATTTGAGAAGTACTAACCAAAATTCTGACAGTATTTTGCCCCAAAACCTTTTTTTTTTTTTTTTAAAAGATTTTAAGGGTACTGACTTAATCCTTGATAAGTGGATCACCATCAGTTGTTGATTACAGTACTTTAAAATTACTAGGTAGAAGGGAAGCAGATCATAGATAGATAGAATGATAGATAGATAGAGAGCCTTGAATAAGCTTCAAAGACAGAAGAGTTCTTTAAAGAAAAAATGAAAATGCTTTTTGACAATCTAATATCTCAAATTTATTTATTTTACTGTTTCTTTGCAATCAATCATTTTGCTAAATATTTATTAAATCCCTGTTTCATTACAAGAGATAAAAGCAGAAAATTGCTTATTTACATATATTTCTAAATAGAACTTGAAGTTTTGTATAATTATTTCACCCCAAGCAAGGTGATAATGCCACTAAAACAAAAGGAGTTACTGGGAGGTGAAGAGAATGAGAAAACTTTAGTGAAGAAAAAGGACATTTAACAGAAGTTCAATTCTCTCCTATTGATCTCTTGTGTAGATTTTTAACTTTTTCATTTACAATGTTTCATATTAAGAATATACTTTATTTAAAACTGAACAGCATTTTATTTTTTAAGATTGTAGAAAAAGGATTTTATTTATTGCAGAATTTACAAGTTTTCTTGATTTGTTTTTCATACAAAATAAATCAAATAATAGGTATAGTTATTTTGTTATACTAAGTCTTAATATATCTATATATATATATATATATATCTATATATCTATATATATATACACACACTGAAGTCAATACAGAGTGGCAAAAGTCTATTTCATTCTATTCCTAATATTGAGCACTTTCATCCATAAATATTACATACCTTAAGACTAATATATATATATATATATATATATATATATATATATATATATTTTAAATTTTCTACAATCTCAGTAACCCTAACCCTTTCAAATGAAAATGGCCAAATCTAGCTTATCAAACATATGCATTTGTTTACGACTAAAAATAATAATACCAGCTGGCTGTAGAGGAGTATGTGCTATTAAATCAGTCCAAGAAACAGTGGTTCTTACGTAATATCATGCATTTCAAAATTTTATAATTTTTAATGTATAAATGATAGAATTACAATACTCTGAGAATGAAGCATAGATGTATCAATATCTTGCTTGTAACTTTTGATTGGAGGAAATAGATGAATTTAGTTTCAATGTTATTTCAAACTTTGGTAATAGACAAAATACATTTACAGTATATATACAGGGTGCAGCAGAAATACCTCCCACACCATATATATTTTTTTTAGCGATTTTATTGCATTTGATTTTCATAGAAATGAATAAAACCCAGATATTGATCAGTAAAGATGCCTGTCCTATAGACTGAACATAATAGCACCAAAAACATATAGTCTATAAAAAGGTTAACATGTGTAGATACAAGATTGATAATTTGTCACATGTAAATACAGTTGCTTACAAACAAACTGAAGCGGCTCCACTACAGACATCAGGTGTGGTTTAAGTGAATTGAGAAGAAGAAAAAAAAAAAAAAAATTTTTTTTTTGTTTTTTTTTTTTTACTGTATTCAAGAATTCTATTAGTTACACTGATATGTCTTTTTGTATTAATTTGACCATTTAAAATTTAAGTAACACAAGTACTAAATCTTGCATAAAATTTAAGCAAAGTACTCCAGGCTAAAATGTTATGGTACTTATTAAAAGAAAAAAAAAAAAAAAAAAAAAAAATTGTTTTAGCTTACAAACTGGTAAAAATTTAGAAATAATTTTAGTTTGAAAAGTTAATGTTGTTCACTGTTATAAATAAAGTATATTAAAAGATAGTTCGAGAAAAAAGAAAAGAAAAAGAAAAAGTTTAATTTGACAATATTCTCCTCTTCCTTTCATGTCTTTTTAACTCTTCCGTGTTTTTGATTTTATCTTCTGCCAAACACCCCTGAGAAATATTGAACTTGCTCAACATAAAAAGCATCATACTTACATTTTGTTTTGTTTGCTTGTTTGTTTGTTTTTCTATTTGCATATTTATTCAGACTAAAATTCACACCTTTTTTTTTTTTTCAAGTCTGTGACCCAGCATTTGCCACCCTCCTCCCAAATCATCAGAGGACATGGTATTGAATAATCTAATCCTCATATTTTATGCAGTCAAGGTGACTGGAAATTAATCTGCCTCACTATCAATTCTCATTAGTTTAGATTTCCAAATCACAACTAACAAAATGGCCATAAAACCAGGTTCATCATGCACAGCAAGATGAACTGAAAACTACTAATATTTTTCGGCTTTTTTTTTTTTAAGTATTTATTTCACATGGGAGTAGCAGAGTGTCAAAAGCAAGTGAAAAGACTAATAACCAATATTCCTTAGGGCAGTTGTTAGCAGCTCCACAATCTAAAATGCTTTTACAGAAACATGGCAATTAGAGAAAACACTACTTGGAGACTTTTGGGGATGAAGGTATGACTTAATTAGTCTGATCATAAAAAACAGGAACTTTTGGTTTTTTTGTTTTTTTTTTTAACAATTTTTAAGGATTAACCTTTGTTATATCTTCCCCTACCCATGACATTTGTCAGAATAAAAAAAAAATTGATTTTTATTATTTTGGAAGTGGGGGAGGGTCCTGTTCATCAATCCCTGATTTTTTTTAAAGGTTATCTGTACTGTGTTTTTATTTACAAATATCAAGTTTGACACCGCTTACATTATTGAAAGCTGCATGTTATTACAAATTGGGCAAAGGGACAACATCTGTAGTATGTATTCATTAATGGCGTAAACGATTTCAAACTTGACATTTATAAGCAAACAAGTACAAATAACTCTTTAAAAATCAGAGCTCGATATAAACAGGACCAACTATTCTAAAATGTTTAAAAAAAAAAATAAGAGAAAAATGGATATTTTTCAATTCTGATGCAAAGAAGATTGAGTGTGTTGTAACATACCTATGGACAATAATGAGTATGTCCCTATTCACATAAATACAGTAGTAAATACTGTATGTTGGTCTGCAGCCAGAGATCCATTGTGGAATTCACTTGACTCACATCTAGCAGTTGACTACTTTTCTACACATTGCTGGCGATTCTTATGTGTTGTTCATGTTCTAAGCAGTATCGTTCATTACCAACCTTCATTTGATTATTCTATTCAGTAACCTTCCCTATGTTACAACAGAGTGAATGCTAATCTGCAAGAATTATTCCTGCTCAAAATTCCTTCTTGGATATTACCATCTGGAAGTTATTGAAAGAGACTGACTATTGCTTTTAATAATTTCATTATTTATGATATTTGTTTTAAATATTTACTAAAAAAAGCTAATAAAAAACACCCCCCTCTCTCTCAAAAAAAAAAAAAAGTATATTCCACGTTATCCAGTTATGTGGAATAGAACAAACAAAAAGGCATCTGTTTATGTCCATTGTGTTGGTTCCAATATCTGGGAATATCTGCTAACACTGCCTCCCCAAATTTATAGACAAATCCTACAGATGCATGCTGGGATTTCTTCTTAGTCAATAAAATATTTTTCTTTCTTTCCTTGTTTGCTCATGGACGCTGTTCCTTTTTATTGTCTTATAATTGCTTTACTTTGTTGTTGTCTTATAGTTACCTTGTATTACATTTATTTATTTTTATTATTGTAATTAGGAATTTTGTCAATTCCTCTTTAAAAAATGTCCACTTATTCAAAACATTAACTGAAACAGTTTCTGAGGAAAAGATTACAAGGCATGTCAACTGAAGACGTTAAAAGATCAAATGAGGATTCAGGAAAATTAATGATGCTTCACCTCATATATATATATATATATATATATATATATATATATATATATAATACACACACACACATATATATATACATACACAGGGTATAGCAAAAGTAATGCTCTTTTTTATTTTCTATTAACTTTTATTGAACAAAAATGAATTACAGTAATTTAAGAAAATTTATAAGTATTGTTACATCAAACCAACATGATTTGTTATGATTAACAAGCTATTTAACATGTTCAAAATGCTCCCCTTCATGTTCAATACAATGCTAAACCCTATCAGCAACACTTTTACAAACCATTTGACACATTTCTACATTAATTTCAGAAAATTAATCAGAAATTACTTATTTCCATTCAGGAATTGTTTTCGGTTTGAGCCTGTAAACAAGATCTTTTGGTATACCCCAGAAGAAAAAGTCTGGTGGTGTTAGGTCTGATGATCATGATGGCCATTCAATTGCTCCACATCTACCTCAGCATGAAATTAAGATTTAACCATTCCCAAATGCATAAGCCATAGTTATTGTAATTTATTTTTGTTCAATATAAGTTAGATAAAAATGGTTGTTACTTTTGCTGCAACCTGCATAAGAGATTTTTTTTTTTTACTCTTATCTCAAAACATTTAGAAATTTACATTCAGAAAGTATAAAATTACTGAAAGAAAAAAAATTTCAAACATTTTGATAGACAAATCTACAACCTTCATAGGCTGAAAAACTTTGTCAATCAATTAGTGAACATTTAAGAACAAGGGTAATGTTTAAGTCTTGAAATTTTAACAATGATAGAGTCATCATTCTTCCTCAAAGACATATTTAAATTTAAAAAATTATAATAAATAAAAAAAAAATTAAAATAAGAACCCCTAATCAAATTCTTCAGAAGGTTCTCTCCCCTAAACCTAATGGAAGAAGGTAATTTTTTCGTAACTCCGACGTTGGAAGTTTATTGTATGTGACTGTGTCCTTTTGATTAAAGTGAAAGTGACTCTTATGAAAGTAAGCTGTGGTTGTCAATACCTCAGCCTCATGCTCTTTAAATGCTGCTATGAAATTGGTGGAAAATTCCTCATGCCTGATGGCGAGTTTTTTGCTCACCCACTCCCGTTTGACATCGGACACGAGCAGGGTGTGACGTGATGTCCGAGTCTTCTTCATCATCTGCTTTGCTGTCTCAAGGACCTTGCTGAATTTTTCTGCACCCTTTTCAGGGGTCAGCAAAGTGACACTGAAACCGGTGCCCTTGTTGCGTATCATCAGGAGATAGATGTTGAAGAGGCGTTCTGCATCGATGCGAGGCGTTACAATATAAACAGTGGCACCAACCCCAAACCAGTCGTCCAGGAGACACTTCCAGAGCAGCAGAATAAAATCATGACCCATGATTCCACCACCTTCTGGAATCATATCAATGAATTCTTGAACCTGAAAAGAGATTTAAAAAAAATATATTATGCTGTATTTAGGAGTAAAAGTACTCAATATCAGAGACAGAGCGTATGTAAATATAAAAGTGGAAACCGAGGTCAACAAAAAGTAAACGTTTTTTCCTGCTTCAACGTAATTTTCAGGCCATATGTATTGTGTTTTGGCTCAGCTATTTATACATGCTGGCCAGAGGTGCATTCTGGGTAGTAAAGTCTATTTTATTATTCTGATAATTATTGGAGGGGTGGTAACAGTTATTTTTCAAATTATTGTAGAGGATATGGAGTAAAAATATTTACCTGGTTTATGTGTTCAATAGTAGTTTAATACATTTATTATTTATTTAATTTGTTTATTTTATTTATTTTTTCAGTGGTTGGTTACCTTATTTAATATATAACAAATTTAACCTTTTGAACACAGTGACCCGATCATTTGCCAATATACTACCTGTAGACATTTCAGATAAATTTCACTATTTTAGAATTGCTTGTAAAATAGTATAAATCAGCAATCAAGTGTTGCAAATGGCTAGTACAAAATTGCTCATATGAACAGCTTTTACAAAGCCCAAACATTAACCTAAAAACTGAAGCCATGTTCTTAGATAGAGCTGTATATTTATGTTTTCTCAGATTGATAAAGATGGCTTCAAGTGAATGATGCTTGTAGGTCTTAGTGAGGACCATCCTTTTTCAAGAGTTTATGAATTGGTGCTACAGAATCGCAAAGATTTTTACTAAATAACAGTAACCATGTCACTTGACATTCAACATCAGCAACAACCAAAATGTATAGCACATGTCACTTGAAGAGAAAAAAAAGAATTGACATAATAAAGATGTTGATATTCCAAACAAAAGGTTAGGAAGGAAACCCCTATCAATGCTGGAAAAAGCAATAACAGTAGACTTGAGAAACTTATTTTCCTGAAAATTTATTTCAAGAGAAAGATTTTATAAATTTCAACCAATAATGGCACCTACTGCTTGGTTAATAAATGCTGAATGTTTCCTTATAAGGAAATGGCTAATATATATTCCTATCTATTCTCTTCATCTAGAGATGAAGAGAACAGATACTACATTTTGATCCCAGCTCAATGACAAGTGAGTGAAGAAAAGTGTAACTCAAGTAATGCTGGCTGTTTGGTCAATGAATGTTGAATGTTTCCCTATAAGGAAACAGCTAATATTATCATTATTCTATTTACAAGTTAAACTGTAATTCTTTTTGGTCTGCTAGCAAAAGATCCTCATTTTACAGTGACAATAGATGTGCAGGTAGTATACTGGTTATCAGCACAGAAAATGAATTGGCAAGCAGAAACCAGATTCCAGTGTAGTCTACTGCATTCACTTTTGTACTGACATCCTTGGGAAAGGCAAGAATTCATTTCTTTCCCTAACGACCACCCACTACCTAAGTGTTAAAAAGCAGGGAAAACTGGGCTCTCTAGCCTTGGATAGTAACGAGTCTATGAAAGAAAACTGAATTCCAAACTGTGTAAAGATGAAAAAGAAAAAGATGAAAAAGAAAAAGATGAAAAAGAAAAAGATGAAAAAGAAAAAGATGAAAAAGAAAAAGATGAAAAAGAAAAAGATGAAAAAGAAAAAGATGAAAAAGAAAAAGATGAAAAAGAAAAAGATGAAAAAGAAAAAGATGAAAAAGAAAAAGATGAAAAAGATGAAAAAATGAAAAGATGAAAAAATGAAAAAAAAAAAATGAAAAAGAAAAAGATGAAAAAGAAAAAGATGAAAAAGATGAAAAAGATGAAAAAGATGAAAAAGATGAAAAAGATGAAAAAGATGAAAAAGATGAAAAAGAAAAAGATGAAAAAGAAAAAGATGAAAAAGAAAAAGATGAAAAAAAAAAAGATGAAAAGAAAAAGATGAAAAAGAAAAAGATGAAAAGAAAAAGATGAAAAGAAAAAGATGAAAAAGAAAAAGATGAAAAAGAAAAAGATGAAAGAAGGTGATTTTAAGTACTTAACTTGATTGTGCTTCTAATAAACCTGCATAATGTGGGAGTAAATAAAATCATCTTAAGTTGGTTATGCCTCAATGGCAAATGTAACTGAATGATGTCTAGGAACTTGGAAACCAACAGTTTCAAAGCTATAGAGTTTATGTTCACAAGGGGCCCATTTATAGGGTAGATAAGAGGCCATTTGCAGAGTATTACATTGATTTTTTCAAATTCTAATCTTCATTGATGATAAAAATTTTAGTCTGTCTCAAATTCACACAATCTAAACATCAAATAACATAACGTTCTTTTGTAAATATGAAGATATAGTCAATGCCCAATGAATATAAGCATAAACACAAATTGGTATCTCAGAATTTTAGGGTCCAATTTTTAAGCTGTATCAACCCAAATTGGTACCTTGATTTCCAATCCATAGAATTCCAGACAATTTCTGAAATTATTTACTTTTTATTTTGGTTTGTAGGTGGGGGACCAATTTTTACAATGAATTTTTAATTTAAAATTAAACTTTTATATCAAAGTCAAACTGACCCCACCTCTTAAAATTTAAAAAGAAACAAACTATTTTTGTGAATGTTTGTGATCTGGGGAGCTTAATTGATGGTAATATAATTGAAAAAAAAAGATTATTTCTTGTAGAGTTGCATTTAGGCAGACATGTTGGAATGAACTCTGAAAGTGAAATAGAGGCTCGTAAATTGAAAAACATGTTTGACTGTGTAGTTTTTTTAAATTAATCCCAGTACAAAGCATAGTTTAACTGATTAAATTCAGCATATTTTCTTTTCTTTTTTTTTTTTTTGAGTTAAACCTCTTAAAAAAAAACAAAAAAAAAACAAAAAGAAGAGACAAAAATTCCATCTTTCCACTACGATCAGAGACTAAAGAAAAGCCCCTTCATTTTTTTTATTCTTTAATCAGCCTCTATTTTAAACCTGTCACCTGGTAGCTAAAAGGAAAGGTATCATACACAGAACAAAATTATATACACGTTTCACTTATGTATCACCTTTTAGTTCTAATTCACCTATCACTGCCCCACCCACACACACACATTCCTTGTTGGCTTGCTTGACCTTAACACCCCGACCACTTCTTGACACACAGTCCTAAGCCCGTGTACATAAGCTTGAGACAGCCAAACTGTACCCAAACGGCCTTTCACGTCTTGTCGCAGCCACTTTCTTCTTAGTCAAAAGTTCCTATCGTCCTCGGATATAGCTCAAGAAATAACATGGACTATTATTTTTAATGAGAATTTTCTTTTCTAAGACAAAAGGTTTCAATCATATTTTGCAAGTTCTATATATAACATCCAATTGCCACTTAGTCTTTTTTAATACAAGAAATAGTGCAGAACACGGCTCAAGTGAAAGATTACTGTTAAAATTGTTATGATGAATGAGGTGTGTTAATGAATGAAAGGAGGTGGTAGAAAGTGAAGATTATGTGGACAAAGAGGATAGATAACGACTTAATTTGAAGAGGTTACATTCACAAATGCGCTTAAAAAAAGCACGACTCCACCCCACCTACTATGGGTTAAATAGCGGAATAATAATAATAATAATAAAAAAGGGCTTTATCTATGTAAAATATGTGTGATTTTTTTTTTTTCCAAAAACTGCTCGGTGGAAAATGTCATGATGCCATTTCTGACCTTAGGTCTCTGGTCGGGAACTGAAAAGAAACAAGTACACACCAGAAACAAAAGGAAATAAAACAATAGCAATAATAATAGAAAAAGTTAATCAAGGACATGAGCACGAAGATAGCAAGTCCAAGAGAAGGAAAATTCTGAATTCCAAAGAATGGAGAAGGAAACTAAAAACCACACCACTATCTTTCCCAAGAATTCATGACAACATGATAATTGATAGGTAAAGGAATCTGGAGATAGCCATGTTCACCTGAATGGACATGGTATTTTAAAAAAAATACCACATTAAATAAAGCATTAAAAATGGCTATGGTGGCTGTGTGGTTAAATTACTGAATCGGAAACCCAATACAAGCATTTTCAACACTATTTAAGATACTGTTCGCAATTTTATGTTTTTGGATTTGCATCATGGATTTGATAGTTGGCACCCAATGTTAACTTGCTCTATGAATTTTTATTTACGTTTGGTTAAGTCTGGCTCAAGATTAGGAGATCAGAGCACATCTTCAGAATGAAGATCACTACACAAGCAAATACTTTTTCAGGATTATCCTCTTATTATATGGGTGAGGACTTGATATTTACAAAATTTAAGTTTGGCCCAAGGCCACGGACACTATGTAAATGGAATTCATAACATCAAAGAATCACCTAAAGTGATAAGCTCATTAACCAGGCACCTAATATTTAATAAGCTTAGCTTAATCAGGCACGAGACCACAAATATGGTGAACTTAGTATGGATCAAACTTGATATTGAAGCCATGGTCTATGACTCACTTGCTGATGATTATTTCATAACAAAGTGACCAAAATGTCAAAAGTTTTATTCATTATATATATTTAGACCATCGTCCTAATCTTTGTTATCATTATCACAAGGTTTTTCCCATTGTTTCCTTCCTTCTTTCATCAGGTGCTTATCTGAGTAACCTTTAAGGAATTTCAAACTGAACACTTTATTCAATCTATGGAGATTGTTCTCATGCCAACCTCCATGGCTAGCAATATCTTGTCTTATTCAAGATAATAAACTAATATAATGATTCCCAATGTGAGGTGCATCCCCCCACCGGTGGGAAATGGTAATATTTTGGTGGAGAATGCGTAGGATGTGCTCCCTTTGACTTGCTGTACCAACAGAATAAGAGGGCAATGTGAGAATGAGTTATTAACAATGAATTGTTTTCTAGTGAGTCTGAGTGAGAGTGTTAATGTGTGTTAATAAATACAATGCATATACAGCGTACATACATAACAATTCAACCATCATTGCAAGAAATTTGTTGTTACCATTACCATCTTCATATTTAGCTGAATGTGGCTTTAGTGCTGTAAATGATTTGATATTGAAGAAGGAGAGAGACTTGAGGTTTATGCTAAATAAATTGGTGCCTAATATAAAATCTGTTAGTCATTTTCTGGTGAGCTCAAATTTCATTTTGGATTATTATTTCATGATTAAAATGATCAAAGCATATTACTTATTAAAGTATATTATTATTACAGAATAAGCTTTCATTTAAATATTTTATATTTCTGCTTTTCAGTTCTCTAGGTTTTGAAACATACATATATATATATATATATATATATATATATATATTAATTAATGAAACATGCATAAAGGAAGGATTGCTGCCTAAATATACAAATATATATATATATATATATATATATATATATATATATATATAAAATATTTTTTTTTGTTTTTTTAAATTTTCTCTTTCATGGACACCATGGTTTTTGGAGAATCAGCAATATCTAGTGTCTTGGCTTCAATCACTTTCCCACCACTGTAAGAGCGCCTCCTTTTGCCTTTTCTATAAATACTTTCAGGATAATTTTTTTGAATGAGCTCTTTGCTATGGTGCGTAGACTTCTTGAATTTAAGTGCAGTACTAGACTGGCAACAAGGTCTCACCAATTTACAGTTGAGCTGGCAAGATGTAACTGTAAATTCTATGCTAACAGTTTCTTTTCTCACACTTCTCACCTGTGGAACTTCCTTCAGGCTTCATGCTTTCCAGCCAACTTTAATCTGCAAAAATTTAAATGCAATGTCAATTACTATCTGCTATCCTCCTCTGTTCTTGCTCCTTAACAATGTTCTTGTTTATAACTCTTCCACACCTAGTAACCCCTTGCATCTTGGCAGCTTTACTGCCTTGCTTCAAGTGAACTTAATTAAAAAACAGAAGAGAAATGGAAAAAGGAAAAGAAAAAAGGAAATCGAAAAAGGGAAAAGAAAAAAGGAAATCGAAAAAGGGAAAAGAAAAAAGGAAATCGAAAAAGGGAAAAGAAAAAAGGAAATCGAAAAAGGGAAAAGAAAAAAGGAAATCGAAAAAGGGAAAAGAAAAAAGGAAATCGAAAAAGGGAAAAGAAAAAAGGAAATCGAAAAAGGGAAAGAAAAAGGAAATCGAAAAAGGAAAAAAAAAAAGGAAATCGAAAAAGGAAAAGAAAAAGGAAAAAAAAGGAAAAGAAAAAAGGAAATCGAAAAAGGAAAAGAAAAAAGGAAATCGAAAAAGGGAAAAGAAAAAAGGAAATCGAAAAAGGGAAAAGAAAAAAGGAAATCGAAAAAGGAAATCGAAAAAGGGAAAAGAAAAAGGGAAAAGAAAAAAGGAAAAGAAAAAAGGAAAGGAAAAAAGGAAAAGAAAAAGGAAAAGAAAAAAGGAAAAGAAAAAGGAAAAGAAAAAAGGAAAAGAAAAAAGGAAAAGAAAAAAGGAAAAGAAAAAAGGAAAAGAAAAAAGGAAAAGAAAAAAGGAAATGGAAAAAGGAAATGGAAAAAGGAAAAGAAAAAAGGAAATGGAAAAAGGAAAAGAAAAAAGGAAAAGAAAAAAGGAAAAGAAAAAAGGAAAAGAAAAAAGGAAAAGAAAAGGAATTCAGTGATCCAAGTTCATTACATTTGCTTTCATATAAATAACCTTGCAGAAAGGTATCAATCTGTTTCTTTTCCCCCTACAGGTTACATAGCAGAGCTGAATGAACATTCTTGCCTTGTGATAGCAACCACTCTAGAAAGAAAACTTAATTTAAAACCACCCTGAAGAGGAATGGGCTTCAGACTATCTCACCTTAGACACAACCACTATGGTTGCAGTACATAGTGTATTTTGATTGAAGGGTTTTTTTGTTTTTTTTTTTTGTTTTTTTTTTTACAGCTTATCAACCCTTTTGGGGTTATTTAAAGCAGAAATATTTTGGATTGTAAACTTTTTTTTTTTTGCAAGAGAATATTTCATTAACAATTTCTTGAGAATAACAATATTTTTTTTTTAAGTATAAATCTTACTATTTAACCCATAGCTAGAGGAAAGAGCTGAATTCAGTACATGTGGTGTCCTAAGGACCTTATTGAACTCAACACTTTGAATCTAGTCACTGGTTCTAATCAACGTCTTTATCCACTGTTCAATACAAGGCTACAGCAGTGGTGAACAAAAAACTTGGAGAGTTAAGTTAAAGGAAAATAACCAAGACCAAGGCATGGCATGTGGAACTAGTACAATCTAACCTTTGGACAAAATAAAGGGTTCCGTTTGAAATTCCAATCATCTAAAAAAATTTGTAAATATGGCAATGAAGATGAGGATAACAGTCTGAATAATGTAAATAATGCATATAATCATAATACCTCATCTCAGAGATATAGACAGAATTTAACTTAATTTTCTTAATACAAAATTTTCTTAAATACAAAAACAAAATTTCAAGAACATTTATTCACTTTTATTTATTAGACATTGAATTGTATCGATCAAAACTTGGTAAAAGCTATGAATCTAATTTTGGTGTCAGTACTGATCACATCAAACCACAGCTATCGCACAGGGTGAAATGTTGATTTTGTAAAAAAAAAGTGAAAAATCAATTTACCCTAGTGGACAAAAGTTTTCAATGATGATACTTTACCAACAAAGTAAAAAAGAATTAGACTACCAGCCCTTTAACCTTTTAGAAGAGTTAAGATCATTAAAAGATAACACATGTAGGGAATTACATAAGATTTAAATCAGTGATCCTCAACCATTTTTGTTCAATTCACCCCTTTTCACCATATTTCACAATGTCATTCCCCACTTTTCCAAGATTGACTGAAAAGGTGCATTCCAAATAATATTCATAGATTATTGAAAATCTTCATTCTTTTCAATATTAGTACACAGACATTTACATGGATTATTTTTTTTATAGAGTTTTACAAATTTAATAGCAATAGAAAATATTTACAGATTTTTAAATTTGAATACATGTAGAATAAGTTGTTTTAATTCATAGCCAATTATTAAATAAATGGAAGTATACTTTGCTAAAAAAAAAAAGAAAAAAAAAAGTTTGCTAAAAATAGAAAACGTTTGCTAAAGAAAAAAAAAGAAAAGAATGTTTGCTAAAAAAAAAAAAAAAAAAAAGAAAGGAAAGTTTGCTAAAAAAAAAAAAAAGTTTGCTAGAAAAGACAAAAAAAAGAAAAAAGAAAAAGTTTGCTAAAAAAAAAAAAAAAAAAAAAAAAGTTTGCTAAAAAAAGAAAAGAAAGTTTGCTAGAAAAAGACAAAAGAAAAAAAAAAGAAAGTTTGCTAAAAAAAGAAAGTTTGCTAAAAAAAAGAAAAAAAGAGTTTGCTAAAAAAAAAAAAAAAAGAAAGTTTGCTAAAAAAAAAAAAGAAAGAAAGGAAAGTTTGCTAAAAAAAAAAAGAAAAAAAAAAAGGAAAGTTTGCTAAAAAAAAAAAAGGAAAGTTTGCTAAAAAAAAAAAAAAAAAAAAGGAAAGTTTGCTGAAAAAAAAAAAAAAAAAGGAAAGTTTGCTGAAAAAGAAAAAAAAGGAAAGTTTGCTAAAAAAAAAAAAAAATTCAATAAAAAAAAAAAAAGGAAGTTTAATAAAGGTCAGGGTATTTAAATTTAATAGTATTATTTATTTATTCTAATGAAGATGACAATCAATGAGAAACTTGAAAAAAATTAAACGATCCCGCCCTGAAAATCCCCACAGGAGTGGGTTCCCCATGTTTGAGAACCCTTGCTTTAAAGAAAGCAAACATGCATGGGTAGCTCTTTCAAAGTTCCACATAAATTTGAAATTGATAAAAATCTCAGACAGGGATCTTAAACACGTAGTTCACAGGGAAACCATTTTCATGACCAGTATTTTCTCAAATTTAAATACCAAATAAACTCTTTAACATTACTTATAAGTTTGAATTCAATAAAGAAATCATTTTTTGTTCATATTTCATTCTTCATATATTTAACTTATTATCATATGCACTGGTGATTATCTTCCTTGATCATCATATTGGTTGACACCATCTCTTTGTGAGGGATCTAGGTAAATTGCTCAAAATCAATTGCTCAACAGTAAATTGCTCAAAAAATAATTTCTTGAACTATCAATTGCTCGAAAGGCAGATTGCTCGAAGTAATAAACTGTGCCGTCTCACAACACGTCAATGGAGCTGCATATAAATGGAGCCACAACACTCAACTTTAGCAGTCCTGATTTTTTTTTTCTATATTTGTTTTCTATTTCTATTTCAGTAATTTTGGAGATCTCAAACCATAACTTTTGTTGAGAGTGAAAAAGGAAAGAGGTTGTTTGGATGGATATCTATATATTAAGGACAAAACAGTGAACAATAAGATTTACTGGAGATGTGAAATGTGCAAAAAAGGAAATGCTTAGCACGTTTTATTTTTTTTTTAACCCCAGGTTTCGAGCAAACTGGCTTTCGAGAAAAAAAAAAAAAAAAAAAAAGACCTGCTATATAAATGTACTTGTTCTTTAATTTTAACTGTTCAGTTGACAACAATAAAGTTGTATTATTTTATCTTATAGTAAATATTAGAACCAATGTAGTTTTATTTATTTATTTATTTATTTATTTTTTTAAAACAACGTCTTGAGCAAACTGCCTTTCGAGCAATTGATAATTTGAGAAATTATTTTTTGAGTAACTTACTGTCGAGCGATTTACCAGATACTTTGTGAGAAGCTAACATGCATATTCATTTTGATTAATAATTATTAGCCAAATATTTAATTACTGTAATTCCCCCCATGAATAACATGCATTTTTTCTAAAAAAATAAGCAAAATCAGGGTGTGTATTATGGACAAAAAAAAAAAAAAAAAAAATTACCATTTCATAGATTGATTTCAGTTGTGAAATGACTACTCACTACAAACATATGACAATTGTGACCCCAAATACAATCATATGTACCTAACAATACTTACAAATGTAAAATGAGAATTATCATAAAACTAAATTAGAATAATATTATTCTTTGTTAAAAAACATTGTTTTTTAAAATAAGACTAGGAAATGCTGACCGTAATGAAATTGGAGAGGTACAATTTATAGGGTTTGATTACCAAACAAGTGGTGCGTATTATGCAGGAGTAAAAGCATTTTCCCACATTTTCAACACTATTTTAAGTGTGCATATTATGGATGAAGGCGTATTATACATGGGGAATTACAGTAATTTTAATGGCTCCAAAACAAAACTGCTGTCTTTTAATCATCTGAGAGGGCCCTTTTTACTTTCCATCATTATGGCTGATGCTAACCTCCAGAAGAGTGACACATTGCGCCTTCTTGGGCAAACATTTTCAGCTGACATGAAATGAAAAGTTTATATTGAATCAATTGCTTAGTCTGCAACTAAGAAATGTCATATTAAACAATTTTTCTTGCCAGAATCTATCTTATATATTTACAAGTCTACCATTCATCATTGCTTTGAATATTGCCGCCACATCTGGCCTGGTGCTCCTGCTATATATTTAGAGATTCTTGATAAAAATCCAAAGAAGAATCTGCAATTTTATTGGTCCTGATGTGTCAACTCGGCTTCATTCCCTTTCCCATTGTAATAACGTAGCTTCCCTGTGCCTTTTCTATAAATACTTTCATGGTAATTATTCTAATGAACTTTACGCTATGGTACCTTGACTTTATGAATCTAAGCGTAGTACTAGAATAGGCAGCAAGTTTTCATCATTTTACAGTTGAACTGGCTAGATGTAACCATAAGTTTTAAACTAACAGTTTTTTTCTATCTCATTTCTTGCTTTCCAGTCAACTTTGATGTTCAAAAATTTAAATGCAATGTCAATTGCTAACTTCTGTATTTTTAATTCTTGTTCTCTTAATATTGTCCTCTCTCCTTAATAGTAGCTTTTCTCACATTTTCTAACACTCAGTAACTCCTTGCATCCTAGTGGCATTACTGCTTTTCTTGGGGTGAAATGATTAAAAAAAAAAATACACATACACAAAGCTGACTCTTTAACACAATTATGCTGGATTTTATGTTAGCTGATAAGACGTGTAGCTTTATGCTGTTCTCCAAAAGATCCAAACTATCTTTGAATGGGGATATTTTTATAAGGAGTGCTTCCCATTAGGGCATGTAACCCTATAGCAAAGGAAAAGACGAGAGTTCCTTATAGAAAATGTGTTTAAAAAGTGCCCATCAGCTGATGCTACTATATATCTCCTCAACAGCCAATCTTGCAGGTATTGTAGCCTGAATAAGACAACTGGGAAGAATGAAAATCCTTCACTATCAAAGAGGGTTAATAAGTACATAGTTTGCCACAGTTATAAGCCAAATCCCAATTTGAAATATTCACTGTGTAATGATTTATTGAGAAGAGTTAAGTGCATTGACAGATTTGTTGTTTACAAACTTATTACTTACTATGTAGAGGACATTTTGAATCACTATCCAATTCACTGCAAGTGTAACAATACCCGAGAATAATGAAATTACTTGTTAGCCTCGTCACCCACTCCCAAGTGGAGTGAGGATCAAGACAGGACAAAATGTAAGGAATTCTGAACTGGTAGAATATATTTTTTCTAATCTATTTTTATTCCACAAACTGACCATAAATACACTGAGAGTAAAGTGTAGAGAAAACGTGTGATCAAGTCTCAACTCCAAAAAAATGTATGGAAAAATGTTGCAGAGTAAGTAATTGTGTCTGTGAGAGTTTCATATTTACATTGATGTTGAATCTTTTATAGTATTCCAAAATATGAATCAAAATGGAGAGAGAGAGAGAGGAAGAGAGAGAGGAGGGAGAGAGAGAGGAGAGAGAGAGAGAGAGGGAGAGAGAGAGGGAGAGAGAGAGGGGAGAGGGGAGAGGGAGGGAGAAATAGGGGAGAGAGAGGGGAGAGAAGAGGAGAGAGAGAGAGGGGAGAGAGAGAGAGAGAGGAGGGGAGAGAGAGAGAGAGGGAGAGAGAGGGAGAAGGGGGAGAGAGAGAGAGAAGGGGAGAGAGAGAGAGAAGGGGAGAGAGAGAGAGAAGGGGGGAGAGAGAGAGAAGGGGAGGGGAGAGAGAAGGGGAGAGGGAGAGAGAGGAAGGGGAGAGGGAGAGAAGAAGGGGAGAGGAGAGAGAGAGAGAGAGAAGGGGAGAGGAGAGAAAAGGGGAGAGGGAGAAAAGAAGGGGAGAGGGAAAAAGAAGGGGAGATAAAAAATAATATAAGGAAGGAAGAAATAGAAAAAACAATTTGATATAAGCCCTATCCACTCAACACCATATCATGTCCTCTCTTGTCTCTGCCTAAAAATAAAAGCCAAGTTATTGATCAATGTGGGTGCACCCTGTGATCAAAGACACTGTCACCCCCTCCCCCCATAACACATGCCATACAAACTACTACTTATTCTGACCATTGGTCATCAAAGTCCACACTTAGATATCTTCTGCTTTGCAAGTCCCCAAAAGAAAAAATATATATATATATATGGGCATTTGTCTTGTGTGTAATTCACTTTCTAAAAAAGACAAAATGAACCTACTCATTTAGAAATTGTGATTCACCCAAAAAGAAACTTGGCAGGGGAAAAGTTAAAAGAACAAGATTCATTGAAACTTTCATTTTTTTTTTTTTTTTTTTTTTATCTATTTATAAGAATTGTTGAAATTAAAAGAAAAAAAAAAATAGTCCCTGTCAGTTTTTGAAATAGTTTTAGAAGTAGGTACCTACAAAGAAAAGCAATACCTAAGATTTAAAATGAATTTTAAAAAATGAAAAATCTTTCTTGAAGCTTTTATTCTAGCTTTAATTTTAAGCTAACAGATTTAATTTAATATTTCCAATAAGAAAAATACTTTGCTGTATTTCAAAACGAATTTAAATTGATTGGAATGAATGTTTTTTAAATCACTAAAAATGGCTGAACTTAGCCATATTCTTTCAATACTTGTAATTAAAAAAAAAATCTTTCAAAAATAAAATATATTTTCCTGAAACTTTATTTGAACATTATCAAATTTTTAATCTGATTTGAAACAAATAGTACTTACTTTTAGTTTAAAATAGTGCAGAAAAGCATTTTTTAACATGGAGATTGGTGTTTTTATGATGTGTTGGTAACTATCTCCATAGACCTATGTTTGCAAATTTTTTCTATGGGTGACATATCAGTAAAAATTACTTGACAAATATAACAAGAGCACCTTTTTTATATCAATTTTTTTTTAACTACCAAAAATCTTAAAAACATAAAATATTTTAAGTAATTTAATGCTTTATTGAATTTTAGGTAATTTGGCTTTAAATTTACTATAGTTACCACTCTTATATTCTGATAATGTCATGTATGGATATCCATATTTACAAAAATTGGTGCATTTATGCACGCACAAAAAATTCAAAATTCTTGTTAAAATATTGGAGGTGGGGGGGACTGAATTGTAGTAAGCTTTTCCATTTATGATTAGTAAATATAGGTTTTACTTAATAACAATATCACTTAACCACTACAAATTAATACACAATTTTAAAAGATTTAAAACTTCATAATTATGTTGTAAATTTAAAAAAAAAGAAAAAAAAAAAATTTATGTAACAATTGATAAAAAAGAAAAAAAAAAAGAAGACAAGTGACTTTAATATATCTTATTCATAAAAGGAATTAAAAGCTTTTCTAATTAAATAATGTCTTAGTTTTGTTGCATTTTTTATTTTACAATTCAGGGCAGATTTTCTGGAAAATGAGAGTGCTGTTTTGCAAGAAAAAAAAAAAAAAAAAATTAAAATTCTCCAAGGACTTGTGCTTATAACATTAAGAACTACAAAAATGAATTTCTCGAAATTTCATAAAATTAAGTGTGTGTGTGTGTGGGGGGGGGTCTAGGAGTAACAGATGTAAAAAATCTTTTACCAAGATTTTCTAAAATAAATATTTCTAAAATAATTTCATTCATTTTTCAATAAGTGATGAAAATTATTAAAATCTGACAATTATTTGATTTTTGCAAGATTTTCAAAATCAATATTTTTCACTGCAAAAAGATACTAAAATTTCATACAAATTTATGGTCACCTGCTGATGAAAGAAACAGAAAATTTTAACCAAAATTTTGAAGGTTTTAAAAAGGATTAAAAGAATTTAATAAATAAAAAATCCTTTGGTCTTTAATCTTACTAACAAAGATTTTGATGATAAAACTGATTTTAAGTTTGAGTATTTTTCATAATGGCATGCTCATTTTGTAGTGAATTTTTGAAGGTACCTAGTTTTAAGAGTGATTTTATCAAGTGTTCATGACCCACTTTTCTGTTAACAATCATGGCATACATATATTAATGGATTAATGCCGATTATAATTTTAGGATGGATGGGTTATAGGTAGAATCCTATACATAATACCAGATTTTTTTCCATTTTGAATTTCTATAACTCATACCAGATTTTACTCTGGGCATTAATAGGTTAAGATATTTGACAATGTGACAGAATACAGGGAGAAAGTAATTCTTTTTCTAAGAGAATTATTGAAAAACGATATGGGATAAGATAAGAGACCTCTTCTATTTCCAATATATATTGCTCGATTTGTTTTCTACAGTTTATCACCTTTTATTTCCATTACAGTGGGCTTATTGACACACTCACAATTCCTAAAGTATTAATGGATTTCTTATATATATATATATATATATATATATATATATGGTGGACTCTCCTGTTGTATTCAACGTATAAGGATTCAAGCAGCTTAATTCCTAGGAACCGACAACCACACACCAGCACATATGATTTGATTATAATAGTGAAGACTGTGCAGAACCAACCACACTTTTTGAAGGATCGAATACTGAGACCTGTTGCACTACATACCACAAGGTCCCAAAAACAACAGATTTTGAATTCAGAGTCGTCCTTCTCCTAGACCATTTCCCATCCAAGGCTATAGAAACCAGTCTGCCCTGCTATTTACCCATAGCTGGAGGGAGAAGAAGAGGATTAATACCTTTCACAAGGGTATTAGCATGTAAGTTAATGTAATGGATTTGACTGGAATTCGAACTCAGCTCTCCGATTTCTCAACACGAGCCACTATCCACCGACTCTAAAGAATTAATGGATTTATTTTTAATCCAACATTCTCATGACAAACATTATTATAGTGGCTGCTGATATTTGATATAGACACCCTGTTTTTTATTTTAAACAGTATATACTACATACTCAATACTTGTGCATCCCAAAAATCTTAAAGAAAAAAAATTATATATATATATATATATATATATATATATATATATATATATATATAAAATAATATATAAAAAATTTGCTTTTTAAGCCCTGTGCTAAATATTTATTAAAAATTTCCCAAATCATTATATTTCTGTGTAAATTTACATGCTGAATCCGAAAATAACAATAAAATTTTGATAAAATCTACTGCTTTGGAGTTATCTTACTTATTATAAAACGCAGATTGTGTGTGTGTGTATCTGTACGTTTATATATTGGATCGGATTTCCTACATTTTTCAACTGATTTCAACAAAACTTCACTTTTTTTTTTTGGCAACTAGTGTTTCTTATTGTCTTGCACACTTTTTTTCTTTATTTTTACATTCAGAATGTTTTAAAAATTCCGTTTACAAGACAATTGTTTATAATAAAATTCTATTCAATTGGTAGACTCATAACGATTGAAAACAATGTTTTTGTTTGAGTTTGACCAATTCGTAAAAAAAAAAAAAAAAAACAAAAAAACAAAACAAATAATGTAGTTTATCCTGCTGCATTACAGCAAGAATTATTTATGAAAAAACTTCATTTTGATCTTAATTTTTTCACCGTTATGTTTTTCATTCATGCAAATACATGTATTTTATTTCTGTCATCACCTGTTAAATGTTATTCAGTTTCACCATGTTTCATTCGTTTAAAAATGGCTAAAATTTTAATGTTTAGCTATCTGAATAAATACAAATATTTTCTTTCATGTTTACAACCAATTTAGAAATGAAATGTTTATTTAAAATTTTTATTTCAAAGATTTCAAGTAGTGAATATATCTTACTTTTCAAAGTGATAGCGAGTGGGAAAAGCCTGCTAGTTTAAAATATATTCAAAGTATATAATGGCAGTGTGTGTGTGTGTGTGTGTGTGTGAGTGTATGTGTATGTGTATTTAGGCAGCAATCCCTCTTTTATATATGTTTCATTAAAGACAACTGACAAAGTACCAAGATTAAACTTTTTATTTAATTTTTCTTATGTTCATAGAAGTGTTTTCTTTGCTGGACACAAAATGGGTAAAAACTGTCCAAAAGTTCTTATTCGAGTGCTTTCAGCTATACTTTTAACAATTATCAAGGGTGATATTTTTTTTTTTAACTAAATATGTGGGTTTTTACACACTGTCTAGAAAAGAAAACACTTGTATGAACACAAGAAAAATACAAGAAAAAGCTTAGTCACAGTACTTGTCAGTCATCTTTAAAGAAAACACACACACAAGTTTTATATGTTTATTTATATGTTTATCAAATCCTCCTACTTATTATATGTGTTTATCGTTTGCTTGATCCGGCTTCTAATGCTCCAGTTGGCGCGGCTTGGTGAGAGTAGTCGGGCTCCTGGGGCACAGTCTTATGGTTATATAGCGAACTCCAGGAGAGTTCCGCCACGGAATATGTGAGTGGCGGCGCTATGTTGAGTCTGATATGAATCTCTTGGTGTCAAGGCCCGGTTGGTACAGTTGGTATGGTGTCTGCTTGACAACCCAACTGTCAGGGTTTCGATACCTGGTGGTGGATGCGCACTGCTGATGAGTCCCAATTATAGGACGAAACGGCCGTCCAGTGCTTCCTCTATTTTCCTGTTGAGGTTTATATCAGACTCAATGAATTTATTTATATGTTTATCAAATCCTCCTACTTATTATATATATATATATATATATATTTTATAAAAAAAAGTTTATAACATAAATATGTTATAAAATCACTACAAAAATAGCCATTTTGTTTCAACACCCTCTGTGTCTTATCAAGTGATGATGTTGAATATAAAATAAATGGTTTTAAAAGTTTCAAATTAATTAACGATCATTCGCTAGGGGAAAACATTGTTACAAAAGCTAGAATGACCAATCAAAACCCAAGTATAGGAAGATTCAAAAGCTTGACAATGAAATCATGTTATAACAGCTATTCAGATCTTTAAAATATGGGTAATATTAAAAAGAATTTATTCTAACCAATAATTATTAAATTATATGATAAAATTTGATATTAAAATTAAAACCTGCCAATTTTAAAATCCAAATTTAATCACTATTGTTTAAAAACTATAAAATTACTGAGGAGAAAAGAAAAAATACATATGTTATTCAATTTATTTCTTCATTGAAATTACGTTAGAACAGACGC